GATTTTAATTTATTATGTATATCTTAGCTTAAATCGATTTCCGGTACAAATTAAACTTAATTGTATTTTTAATTTTCGATTTCATGCTCTCAGGTTTCCTTCAAAGCATCTTAATTTGAGAAAATATATTTCGAAAATAAGTGGGGTTGAGTGGCATAATGTGGCCCTATGCCCTATACATACACATCTAGACAGTAGTGTATTTTTTTCCGCAGTGGGACACAGGATATTATTTTTCTTATAACTGAGAGGATGACTTAGAGGCGGAATACATTGTTTGGCGGAATACATACTTGTCGAAAAGCAAAAATTCAAAATCTATTTCTAAGTATTTGAAGGAGTAACATTCAATTAATTACTGATCGTATTAAATAAAAACACAAAGTAACTAACAGCAGATACGGGCCACGAACAGATTTTCTATAAATAGTGCGTCAATTGCGTCCGACCAGCGAAGTTTGTGCGTAAACGGTCTTCGACGACCTGTTTGACAAATGCGGTGATTAAACCATATAGTAAAGGTATAAATCAACCGCTGGAACGGTTAAAGACCGATGGCATCGGCGAAACTCTACTCATTTCTTTATTCTTTTTTATAATCTGTGTGGTGAGATTGTAAAATGGTAGTCTAGCTGGCCAATTTTTAAGTAAACACAAAAAGTGCGAAATGCAATAACGTGATGCCGGTAGTGTTTGAATTTTCTCAAGGTTATTCATACCCGTCCATAAGAAACACGAGTAAAGTACTTGGTGATTAATATTGCACATTTGGAAGAAGGAGACAAACGACTACTTTCGGTTTCGTAACCCACACTGGGTTCCTCTTGGCTTCGCATGAGGCAACTGGCCGAGAGAGATACTAGATAAGTTCACTTGGCATATATGCAAGGTGGGTTTTGGGGAAAAGTTAATGGTAAGAACTGTGCAGAATTGCAGCCACTCTCCCTGTCCTCTGCAATCGAGGTGAAGTCGCGGGGGAAGAGGAGTAGCGTAGTAGAGAGAAGTAGTAGAAATACCCGCCGTATGGCGTTTGACCCCTCTCTCTCTCCTTTGCGACTCAATGCACAAAAAGGGCTGCACCATTGATGCAGCTGGGCTGAAACGGTGAGCGGTGGAACCACATACCAGGTCCGCCGCTGGAGTCCGGGAGGTTTGCCATTGCAGTGGCTTTCTTTATTGCTTTAGTTTCTTTTTTGGCTCGAGCGAGTCGATTGTCGAGTCGAGTCAAATATTTCCCTCAGGACAACAAAAAAAAAACCGCAGGTTTCAAACCACAACACCAAGAAGTTGGAGTTTTTAGATTTCATTACGTGTCTCAATTCTAAGTCGCCGAGTCAGGCCACCCAACTCTGAGTTTCAGAACTAGTCATTTGAGATAGTATGTTTGTTTATAATTGTTCGCAGAAGAAATTTGTTAAACACTTTTTTTACTACGCTTTTGATTAAAGTAGGGCAAAGCACGACTCGGTGTAAATCTCTGCACTGAGGTGCATATTCATAGTACGGGCGTTATCAAGTTGTTTCTGGTTGATATTCCGAGCATAAAGTGGACTTAGACGTCGTTGGAACGCGCAAACTCAATACTGTAAATATTGCATTTGACAAATTTGGCGCGAATAAAAATTTTATAACTGACTAATAATTTTCTGAAATTAAAGCGTTTGACAACTTTACATATTCGATAGTTTGTGCTTGAACAAAAATAAAAAATATAAATAATGAAAAAAAAATTGGAGACTAATTGAATGTATTATGGCAATGCAAGCCTTCCTGACAGTATCGCAAGACATATTTTAATAATGTTTGTAAATAATAGATAAAGTGGATCGTAATTTTCTTGGTGACTAAAACTTACTAGTTAATGTTCAAAGAGCCAGAAAGTTTTATCTTATTTTTTTCTTCGAGAATTAGGAGCCTTCATTTATTAACTTTAAGCTTAATTAACAGAAATATCTTTTTTCTAATTACAAGATGCATGCAACGTTAATAGAATGAGATAAAAATTATTATATAAAATGATAATATTTAATTAAAGAGTTAAAACAATTAAAAAGAATTAACCTGTTATTCCCCATTTTCAATATTCTTAAATCTAATAGTTACAAACATATAATTTTATGTCGACTAAAACCCAAATCCAATAGATAGTCCATGCGTTGGGAATCACTTAACATCGGGAGAAGCGTTTGACAATTTTTCATATTAAAAATCCAGAGGTCTGTTTCTTTTCTTTCCTAGGGTAGTGTATGCCTCCTACAACTGCATCTCCAGTCATATCACATATCAGGCAAGATAAAATCCAAGCACTACGCAGTCGCTCACAAAAAAAAACATTAATCCAAAGACCTCAGTTATAGAGACTCGTGGCGATTCCAAAGACCTGATGCCTTGATTGAGATTCATTGGGGCAGACTCGATTGTATTGTTTAGACGGAATCCATTGAGCCTCTCATCTGCCCGAGTGTTTCTGTCCGAATCGGAGTGGCGTCAGAAGCGGCAATGAATAAAAAAAGTTATCAATGATGCTAAGATTTGTGTAGATTATGTATTTATGCCATTTGCGATAAGGTCCACGGGATCCGGGAACCGCTTAGATTTGTCATTATGTGTAGATTATGTATTTATGCCATTTGCGATAAAGACATTAGGTCCGCGATCCGGGAACAATGAAATATTCAAAACAGTTACATCCCCGCTTTCTTGGTGCGACTGGTGAATAGAACCGATTCATTAGCGCGCTTAAAGAGTAACTACGACCATTAAGATAGGAGATGAAGCCTTAATTTGCGATACCCAGACGAAGGGAGATGGCTCGTCTCATGATTTAATAAATTATTAACATTTTAAATAATGTTTAATAAAACTGTTATAAAATTTTCAATGTAAAATCTATGAAAGATAATTATTTACTTCATTGAAGAGATATTCAGAATTGTTTGTGTTTGAATTTAGTATAACATGGGATAACTTATAATATATGTAGGTTTATGATAAAAAGGAATATTGCTACAATATTCCTTTCAATATAAGTAGTTATGGCATTTTTTTTTTATATCCTCTTATTATATGGTAAAAAGTATTTCATTTGATTCAAGAGAAACTAAATGATAGTTAGTGCTTTGTACTCACCGCACATAACTCTGAGGATACTTTTGTTCTGACTTTTGGTTTGTTAATTCCCAGAGGGTTTCTTGAGAATAACTATTTGAAGAAATCCTTTATGTTTGGAATATCAAAAATCCTATATTACAAATACTATTCACTATAAACACCACATCTCGTTATTATCAAACTACAGCAACATGTAGTTAAAAATTGAGTCAATCAACTCGTAAAAAGGTACATCTCACCTTTTTGCAATTGTTTTGCTTAATGTGTACGATAATGATTATTACTTATTCTGATCTAATGTTAATAGCTACTAAGCGTTTTCATTTTAACTTACGTACGATTCATACAATCGAAAACTTAAAGAAGAGTAAGTTTTTAGGTGCTGATGAAACACCACTAAGGTATAAATCAAATTACTTCTAAATATCTTATCCGCAATTTTATTTGAACTTTCGAGTCGATAATTCAATCGACTCTAAACCTCTAACTTTTTTAAATAAGTATCTTCGGCTATTCATCCTTACTTAAAGTAAAAGGATTATTTAATTTATTTATGCATGACGTCTTTTTTTAGCAGACTTCAAAAAAGAATTAGGTTCTCAATTCGACTGTATATTTTTTATGTTTGTTACCTCAGAAATTTCGATTGAATAAACCGATTTTGACGATTCTTTTTTTCATAATATTGGTGCTCCCCATATTATGATCCCATATTAATTTCATTGGTATTGAAGCTTGGGCTCCGGAGATAATGAGGGAACTCCTGAAAATCTATTATAAAATGAATACAGAACGAGATGTTTAAAGTCAGTTTGGTTTTACGTTATTTTGGATGGCAATATCGTATTTTTTGCCGTGGACATTCGAAAAACTCATAAGGTTGCGTTGTTAATATTTGTATCGGTAGTTTCAGCACCATTGCACCATTCCTGCAACAGCAGAAGTTGTTACGCGACTCTACCACAGCTGGTTGGTTCATTCTCCATGCATCAACTCTCCGTCTTCAATCTGACCCGAATTGATAGAGATATCCGCTGATTGTTATGTACCACTCATCTTATTATGTCCCAACTCACAAGACCGCCATGGTTTATTTCAGTCCGTGTGATAAAACGTAACATTCATTACGTTGAAATTATATATTTTTTTAATAATATAGAGAAAAAGAGACGATCAGTTACAGCCGACTGAGCGTTATAATGGTCTATAACTAAAATATTAACGAAGGAAGAGTGAATAGAGATAAATTGAATTTTTCAATATTTTGCAGAATAAGTATGGTTATAGTATGACTAGAACAGACGATTCGCAACAAATGAAAGTTAACGAATGACTGGCCACTGTTCATAACGTTATTAGTATTATTCATACATACGTATACTTACATACGTGTGAGCATACAATCACACGTATGTAAGCATATCTTTGTTATAGGTAATGTATATTGTAATGCAATAGGGAAAAGCCGGCTACATAAGGTTTGGTAGAGTCGGGTGCTTATATCCTGAAAACAAAAATTATTCTTATTTCCCTATCTATCACCGATTTTTATGAATGATGAAACAGAACAATCACATCGTTGACCAAGGTTCCCAAAAAGCATCCTTAACACAAACCTTGCGAGCAAATAAAAAAGTGACAAAACTGAAAAGACCACAATACAAACACGTAACGTCATAACAGCGAACTAGCTGTGAGTACTTACTTCTGCTGAAAAATTCTACGTACAGCCCTCGGACACATCACATCGCGTAAACGGGATGTCGGCGCGCCGCTCTACAGAAGCGGGGCGGGCTGCTTACGGCGTGACGTCACAGGTGGCAAAGGCAAAACAATCGGACAATTAAACAGTTGCACACGCGATTTAATTTAGGATTTCACGTTGTTCACATACGGCGTGGAGCGGCACGGAGGCGCGTGCGACTCCCGCGGCGGTCGGGGGCAGACTGAGCGAAGGCTCGCTCGCTCGTTGAGGTGAGCCGGGCCAATCGCGAGCCTCCCCCCTCACCCGCCGCGACGCCCGCCCAGGCACGCGGGCTGCCGGCACCGGCAAAGAGTAGAGACCCGCAAGAATCAAATGACGAACCGGATATGTGGACCATCTAACTGCCCAGTCGATAACATTTCTAGCTCCAGGACCACATCAAGTCAGATTGGGCTGATTAAGAGTTGAAAAATATTGGAAACGACCAGAACCAAGCGACCATCGAGTTATTCGTATCGTCCCTTTTGTGAGTAATTCATCATCATCATTTCAACCTGGTTGAGTCCACCTAAACATAGGCCTCCCCCATAGACTGTCACAAAGTATTTATGTAATTAATAACAAAATTTTATGATATCCACAAACAATATCATGTAAGGCAAAGTAAAATATTTTGATCCTGGATTGTTACTATAAGTGAAAGTCACAATATTTTTGTTAACTTCAATCTATTTAATGTAACTTATTTTAAGGAATTATAAACGTCAAACTCTACCACCAATTCACAAATTTAAACCTGTCCAGGCAAATGTGTCAAAAGCCAAAAATGTTTTTGTGTGTATTAAACACTTCGTTATATTGATGGATAGATTATTATCCTCTAATACTCCTACTGTGCCATTCATACTTTATTATTTACTTTTTTCATACTTTTCCTTTACAACGTTACATTTATTTAAGCGTTCATTCGCGACGTGGTCACATGTTTATTGTTTTTTAAAAGGAATTTTACACTGACAAGGAGGAAAATTATTATGCTATGCTTGATATGGTGGTGCATAAATTTGAGGGCATAATAGTACGATACGAATATTTTTTTACTAAATAATTATGTGTCAAATTAATGAAATTAAATTTAAAATCAACATCTATTAATAATAAGATTCTCGACGTCACAGAAGACCGGCGAGAAGTAGAAGTGTTACACTTCTGCGTTTTGCCTGGTGAGGTAGTCGGGGACCAATTTTTAAAAGATGGCAACACATCTGCGATGGTACGGGTGTTACAAATGTCAATGTGTGGCGGATAACATTTAAAATCAGGTGAACCACCACCTATTTTTCCAACTACCCACAAAAAAAATACTATTAATGCAATTATATACGGTATTATTATTATATAATGATGATGTCACTGACGACATTCGTATATTTATTTTGTATTTTTCTCTCCCCGTATATATTTTTGTAAGTTATTGTACAGTATATGTTTAGTTTCATGTATGTCTATTGTATATTAGTAATTGGTATATATTAGTATATTATTATTTTACAAAATATAATATATTCGTTCAGTTTATTTAGATCTTCGTATCATTTGCACCACCTACCGTTGTTCAAAATATTGTATTTTTAGCCACAAGGTTATCTGGAAGAGATCGCTTTTTAGGGATAAGACCGCCTTATGATTACTACCTTATAAGTTATTTTTGTAACATTTCTTATATATGTTTATGGTGTTCAATAAAGCATATAAATAAAATAAATAAATGATGTTGATGATAGGGTATTCTTAAGAAAAAATCAGTACTGCTATTAAAATTATATTAAAAGGCATCTCTTGACGGCTTGATCAACCGTTGCAAGGTATTTTGTTATCAGTCGCATGATAAACAATACACAGTAAATACGGCGCGGTACAGTCGATGTGTCAATGCTGTTCTCTCGATAATGTCTTATCTGGATATCATAAACGACCGTTGAGTTGTGATGATATTCAACAATAGGCGATAAGGAAAGCGATGTTATGTTTTAACATTTTAACCACTCGTATAATAGGAGAGCTATTTATTCTACTTATAAAATTCAAAATGATCCTGATGGTCATCCTGCTCTGACATCAGATAGATGGGGTTTACATAACACGCAAATCATACTATTAGTGGTATTAGCCGAATGACGTCAACCTTCGTTTGGACAAACACCCAGATCCGGAAGAATTCACTTGTCCTGTATGGGAATTGAACCCACAATCCCCAGCACTGAAATTAAAAAGTTTAGCAACTGGGCCTCCAAGTCAGTCATTACATCAATGTATGTGTCGAAAGAAGATTAAAGGCGTCTCTACCAGAAGGTTTTTAGGTAGAGCCTCGCAGTGACTTTTGTTGTTAAATTGGCAGACACGATAAGAATATGATACGTTAGGATATGAATATAGAAGACTGATATAAGGTAAAAATATTAATACTCTTGCATTTGACTGGTGTGTGAGTTGACCGTGCCCCGTCCTATTAAGTATTCCAAGGCAACTGTTACCAAACGTAGTTGGAGAGGCGAACTGCTTGTTCTGTTTACTATATAACTTCTATTAAAGAAACCAAGACGATTTGTAGCGGAGTATATTGTTAAAAAATGAAAATTTTAATTATTTGTTCGTATTGCTCATTATAATCATCTTCTCTTATGAACTGTATCCATAATATATTTTGCGATCATCACAACCACAATTCATTAATAAGAATCAACATAAACACGCAACTACTTAACTGCCATGTCTACAGATCCATAATCTATGCCATATAGCGACACCCACAGCTTTCTGACCGAGCTTAGAAAGAATGTTTCATTCATGAAACAATTAGCATAAAAGTATTTTGAGGAACACCTTTCAAGTTTTCACCCTTAGAACCTCCAGCCAATAAAGCTGTACACGAAGTTTTGAATACATCCAATCATAAGATATCATTCAGCTTAATTTTTTTTGTTGTATGTATATTATAAGTCTCTCTTATTATTTTTTATGAAAAAAGGAGGTAAATGAGCAGAAAGTGATCATCGCCATGAACACTTGCATCTCTCGTTCGAATTACTTCATTGTGGAGGGCCGAGGGAGCCAGGGCTAGGAGTCATACCTGCAGTGGGAACCAGAAATTATGGAATAGAAAAGTCCGTAACCTGAAAACATGCCAAATTAGACAGATTTGGGGTCGAAGGGGATAAGATGAAAAGTAAAACTGTTCTCACTGGCCACAGAGCTACGATGAAAAGAAAAGCTGTTCCATCTCATACTAATGATCTAATTAGGAATAACTAGATGGGTTGACCAGCGACTAGTCAAAACAGTGGTTTTGTAGAGAAAGAAGATATCGATAGAGAATCAGTGAAAGAAAAGTTAATGGAGAACAAAGGCGTGAACATACTTACCGCATGTTCGGCTTCACGTGAGTCAAGCCTTTTGGCGTGCTGGGCCTTTAAAACAATATCAAATCATGTGACTCGGTGTTAAAATGTAAATTAAAATGGATATAAAATAAATCCGAAATGAACTAGGCATGGTTTATTTTAATCGAGAAGAGCGATGAAAGACCTTACAGCTTAGAGGTAACGCTAAGAGTTCTGACGTAGCAGCGTAGTATGTATTGAAATTGTTGTAAATTTTCCAAACTTGTACGGCTTATCGTAACCCAGTTCTGCGTCGATATTATAGCCACGTTTATGGTACATTTTATTAGTTGTAAAGTTGCTCCATCAAAACTTTATTGCGTGGTGTTGATATCTTATGTATTACGATAAAAATTATATCAATACTCCGAACATATCATTAAACATCAGGCCCTTAAAGACAGCGTAAAGCTGGGGTATTGCGGAAAAAACCCAATGACATATGGCTAAGTTTTTCAATTTCATCTTGATATGGGCATACAGATAGGAAAATGAAGATTTCTTGCTTTATTCAGAGCTGTTCTAGAGCCACGCAATAAAAGTCCCCGTTGCACGAATGGGCAGGTCCGACATTTGCAACCCTACGGGTGTTCCAGAAGTCAATGAGCGGCCGTCATCGTTTAACATCGCGTGAAGAGCTCTCTTTCCACCTTCTCATATAAAAAAATATCTTTATTTTAATACAATTTCACGTTCAGACGAACCTTGAAGTGGTCTATCCTCAGTCAATTCACCGGAAGCTGTTACGTCAGCTGTTTTTGCTAACAATTAAATCCTAGCCAAAAAGTAGTAACTTCGATGAACAAGCTAAATTAATTTGTCTTTTTCTTGTATTTATGCGATTACACATTATAAATGAAACATTTTCCGCATTTATTGCGTAAAAAATAGTTTAATTAATATTTCTCTTATTTATGGCGGTGGTATATATTATGGCGCATAAAGCCAGGCTTTATCGAATATACCGGAAACATGGAAAAAAATCGCATCTCTACATTTATTGGTAGTGCATTTATTGGTCGTTGTAATATTTAAAACGGGATTCAATTTTAATTAAATATTCAATTGAAACTTGATCGTACACTGCAGCTGCTTTGAAATATTTTATGCTTTTTAGAGATAAGCCAAATCTCTAGTAAGCTAATTTACGTTGTTTATAAAAATTAACGTGCGTTTTAAAATTGTCATCTTTATTGATGAGCCATGTAGATACTTTCTGATAATGGATGAACGTATCATTATAGTTGTATGTACTAAAATACATACCAACGTATAATGTAATTATATGTATATATGTTATCATCATCATCAACATCTTCATCATTTTAGTATGCTAGAGTCCATTGCAGAACATAGGCCTCACCCACAGACTGATTGTATATTTTTATTTATATATTTAACAAAAGAAAAGCACAAAAAAGCTACATATTATATAAATGTACTAAACGCAAACATGCATATTATAAAACTATTAAATACATTATTATATATTCCAATAACTATATAAAATAAATAAAGACATAAATATTCATATATATATATATTGTGATTACTTGTATGTGTTATAAGTTGATATTATGTACATATTATCTTCTTTTTATTTATTTTTAACACTTTGTGAAATCAATCATAGTAACAAAAATCAAAGGCAATCAATGCATTCGTTTTGATACGCAAGTATATCTACTTACTTTACAATAATTTTCTTATTTAAATAAAAGAAAAAGTCAACACGAGTTCAAAAATTAACCAAAAAGTATTCGCTTATCTGTTTTTAGCCGTATTCAACCATATTATGAAGCTTTTAATCACCGTTCAGAAACGAGACGTAAAATAATCTTACTGTTTATTACATACTTTTATGCTTTTTTATATTTTTTATCATTTATTCCTTTCCAATTTATATAATAATAGTAACAGTGTATCACGGTTTGTTTTTATGTGAAAAGTTGACAAC